CGCCAAGTTGCCCAGGTGGGTCTCAAACCCGCGGGCTCAGGCAATTCACTCACCTCGGCCTCCCAAAGCAAGGGATTACAGGCTGAGCCATCGAGCCCGGCTGAAGTTCTTAATCCTTCTACTTTGAAAGATAACACAGCCCCCCCCCGGTATCATAACTTTTCCAACACGGGGTAGGGTGCCATGTTGCTGGCATCTGTTGCTTTAGTTGAGATGCAGCAGATGGGATGGGAATGCTGCCCTTTTTTGCACACCTGATATTGTTGTGAGTCGTTAGTCTTTTTATAAGTTACTCCAAGCAGGTTTGAGTCTTTGAGAGCTTCATCCCTTTGGGTAAGTCATTTTCACCAGCCGACCATATTGTTCCGAGGAAGGAGCTCTGGCCTTGGAGAAATAGGGTCCCTAGGGGACCCCTTTGCCTGTTGGAAAGCAGGTAGGAATTCTGGGGCCAGGGGTGAAGGTGGAGAGTAGGGAGGGGACAGGAATGAAGGTCTCAAGCCCCAAACTGGGCAGCAAGCATCTGGTGAGTGAGCAGCTGAGCCTCTGAGGAAAGGTAACACAGTTCAGTACGAAAAAAAACATCAAAAGAATTTTAATTAAAGACCCTGCCAATCACGCCGAGCTGGGAAGCCTTTGGCTTCAGTTTACTGGTGTTTGTTCAAAAACCGCATTTGAATCCCCTCTTAATTTCCTGCAGGGACCCTGTTGCAGGATAGTCATTCACTTGGGAGGACTTCACATACGGGCTGCATTTTTCTTCCTTAGGCTTTCAAAAGGAAGCAGACTCTTTGTTGTCAGTGACTAAGCTCAGCACCATCAGCGATTCTAAAAACACAAGGAAAGCTCGAGAGATGTTGTTAAAACTGGCTGAAGAGACCAATATTTTTCCAACAAGTTGGGAGCTCTCAGAGAGGTATCTCTTTGTTGTGGTAAGTGGATGCCTTTTTTCTTCTGCTCTAACTTTGCTTTAAATACTTGCCTTTTCCACCAGGCATGGTGGCTTACGCCTGTAATCCTAGCACTGGGAGGCGGAGGCGAGAGGACTGCCTGAGTCCAGGGGTTTAGACGAGCCTGGGCAATAAATTACAATAAATTTGAAAAAAAATTAGCCTGGCGTGGTGGCACCTACCTGTGGTTCCAGCTACTTGGAAGGCTGAGCTCAGCAGGTCAAGGCTGCGGTGGCTGTGAGCGTGCCACTGCACTCCAGCCTGGGTGACAGAGTGAGACTCCAACTCAAAACAAAAACAAGAACAAAAAAATCAGGTTTCTGGATCACACCTAGCCCTACCAAGATTTGGGTTCTGGCTTGAGCTTGTATTTTTCAGCTGATTCTACTGTGCGGTCTGTCTTTTGAACCACTTGTAGGTCTAAGCCTTGGGGTAGGATTGCTTATGTAAGTTAAAACTGAAAAGTAATTTAGAAGGACTCTAAGAGTGGTAGAATGTTTCTTGGATAATGTAAGTCAAAGATTAAGGTGTATCTCTAAATTTGTTGAAAAAAATTTAATAAATGTTTCACTTGTCCATTATTACTTCCATAGTGGGTGTAGCTGCTGTTAGATTGATTTTCCCATGGACATCTCTTGATTCCCATCGAGGCAACATTTATTATTATTATTTTGCAGGATCGTCTCATTGCGCTTGATGCTGCAGAAGAGTTCTTTAAAATTGCTAGACAAACGTATCCCAAGAAGCCTGGTGTCTCATGCCTGGCAGATGGCCAGAACGAAATGCACTACCTTCCATTTCCAAGTCCCTAAGGAGAGGCTCAGAAGCACAGTGGGAATTCTTCCATGGAGACTTAACAGTCACCCAAAGTTGGACAGCTGCATGTAGAAGAGAGTGAGCAAATAAAGGGCTTGCTGAGTGAAAAATGATTCTGAATCCTACAAAAATGTAACATCTTCATGAAGATCCTTCTCTACAAAATGTTAGGTTGCATTGGAACACCCTGGCAAGCTGGCATCTAGAAAGTTAAAAAGTTGGTCGGTGGGATAGTTTATCACGGTGATTATATTCCCAGAACCCATTGCCCCAGATTTGGTTTTGATTGCACAAGAATCTTCCATCATTAATCCTTTAAGAGAGTGGAATATTCCAGTTAAGAGAACAATACGATTAATGTATGGAACCCCCCCAAATGGATTACCAATTTAAAAATCATTACTTTAAAATATACGCTAACCCCAAATAATACTAGATACGATGGGACCTGTCTTTGATTTGGAAGAACTTGCAGAACCTTGGAGGGTGACAAAGACGTTATTTTTAGTATCAGTTATGATCATTCAGAAGTATAGATGTACCAGATGATAGAAATGACTAGGTAGCGAGTTTCATGACCCTAAGTGGAGCTTCCTGCGGCTGCGTGTATGAAGATCTGTTCTCATGTGTGATACATGCATTCTAAACTCCCAACTTTGTTGACATCTGGTTACCTCATTTTTCATATTGTCTATCTCTTTTCCAAAAGCTGTTGACATTTTATCTTGGATAGCATCTGTAAACGGAAACGTTTGATTGCTACTTTCTTCTCTTGTCTTTAATCTGCTTCTGGGTTATTGGCTGGGAGTTGCACCTGCCGCGGACCTCTGGTGCAGACTTCCAGCCCTGCAGGCAGTGTTGCATTGAGGAAGGTCACCGCTCGCCTTTCTTCTGTTCTCAAGATGGCTTTCAAAATGTAGCCATGCTGCCAGTGTGGCTTGCTTCTGTCTGCAGATTAAGAAGTCCAGCTTCAAAAGCGACTTGCCACTTAAGCAAGGAACTTGTGAAAAGATTATGGTTTATTTTATTGAAAAGACTTTAAGGATTTGTAGGCTTTAGCAATAGTTTTATTTTTACCTATTTTTGCACTTCTGACTTCAGGTTAAAAACTAACTTGTATTTAGTCTGTCCAGGGGAATGTGACTTGAAAATTTTTATATTTTGATGAGCTTTTTGGGTAGTGTTCACAGTGGTTAAAATATTTCTTAGAAGAGATCCATGCTCTCCATTTATTAATGCACTGCAGACCAATTTAACTGATGTGTTCCAGAAAAATTCTTCCTGGCGTAATAAGTAAGCTGAAAGTTTTATTTTTTATATTTAGAGCTTAATCCTTGCCTCATGTTGTTTAAAATTAGCCTGCAGATATTTTTCTCACTTCTGTAGGCTCTTGGAAGACAAACATATAAACAGTAAAACAAACAAACAATAAAATAAAATAACTTGAAACATTGTATTGTTTTAATCTCTGTCTCAGAATTTGCATTTTGTCTTTCTTCTCTTGTTTTCTGATGTCAAAATAGATAAGACTGTTTGCATCTATGGAGTATACATTGTTACCATAGTCTTTATTTTTGGTAATGAATAAGGATATGATTGTCTCTATGATTCTTAAAATACATGGACTTATCCAGGACATTTTCCTTACAAAGAATTAAAAGACTTCTGTGTTTACTTTTCAGTTGGATGTGTGTTCTATTTCTGACAAATGAGAAGCAACAGATTTTTTTCCCCCCATAATCACTTGAAATCAAAGGGCAGAGAAGCTGAAACATTCATGGGATTATAAACCTCCCATCCTCCTAAAACCAGTTAAGGAGTAAATGTGAGTGCTAAAGTCCAGTGGACACGGCATTGCATGAACAGGGCTCAGGGATGCTGAGTGGCCATTTTAGATGTCTCGGTATGCTTGGCAGGACCAGAGAGGGGTGTGTGGGAGTGTATTTGTCTGTTTTGCATTGGTATAAAGAAATACCCGCGGCTGGGTAATTTATAAAGCAAAAGGGTTAGTTTGGCTCACAGTTCTGCATGGCGCTGGCATGAGTTCAGCTTCTGGGGAGGCCTTAGGATGGTTTTGCTTGTGATGAAAGGCAAGGGGAGCTGGCATGCCACATGGCGAGAGTGGAGCAAGAGAAAGAAAGGAGGTGCCAGGCTCTTTTAAACAACCAGCTCTCGCATGAACTGGTAGAGCGCTCGTTGCCACGGCTTTCAGACCTTTGCTACTTTTCAAACCAGAAACTACGGACTGAAGGAAAGGCTGGATCCCCCAAGAAGGACTTTGTAGTACCCCGACAAGTGTATATGGCAACGATATACCATCTAACATGCCATATACATATGTTTATTCACTTGGATGATTACACTGGGAAAGGGAAGTTCGTGAATGTTCTGAGGACCCTGGGACCCAAGGTCCAAGTTGAAGTTAATAGTGACCAGAGAATCACTATAGTCCACCTTTTTGGAGTAGGGGTATATGGTATTCAGATAAAAAATGGAGTTCTTCTCCAGGTCTTGTTTTGTGTGTGTGTGTGTGTGTGTGTGTGTGTGTGTGTGTGTGTGTGTGTGGTTGTTGTTTTGTTTTGTTTTTGAGTCAGAGTCTCACCCTGTTGCCCAGGCTGGAGGGCAGTGGCACGCTCCCGGACACCGCAGCCTTGACCTGTTGGGCTCAGGCAGTCCTTCTACTTCAGCCTTCCAAATAGCTGAAACTACAGACACGTGCCACCACACCCAGATAATTTTTAAAAAAAATTTTATTGTAGAAATGAGGTCTCGACAAGTTGCCCAGGCTGGTCTCGAACATGAGGGCTCAGGCAATCCTCTCACCTCAGCCTCCCAAAGTGATGGGATTATAGGCGTGAGCCACTGCACCCGGCCTGTTTTTGTTTTTTTGTTTTTTGAGTCAGAATCTCACTTTGTTGACCAGGCTGGAGTGCAGTGGCGTGCTGCTCACAGCCAGTGCAGCCTCGACCTGCTGGGTTCAGGCGATCCTTCCACCTCAGCCTTCCAAGTAGCTAGAACTATTGGCATGCACCATCACACCCAGCTAATTTTTATGATTTATTGTAGAGATGAGGTCTCGCCATGTTGCACAGGCTGGTCTCAAACCTGAGGGCTGAGGCAATCCTCCTGCCTCCACCTCCCAAAGTGCTGGGATTATGGGCATGAGCCACCATGCCCGACTCCCCCAGGTCTTACAGCAGGTCCACTGAATTCATGGATCTGCCCAGTGATCGTCTCTCCACTTCCAGAATAAATAATTGGACTGAACATACTTGAGAGTTGCAGACCACCATTGGCTTTTTGGGATACATGTCAGAACTATCTTAATGGGAAAGCCAAGTGGAAGCTTCTTAAACTGTCAACCCCTGGCTAAGGTAGTAAACCAAAATCAATATTCCATCCTATAGGAATGGCAGATATTAGTGCTATCCTTAATAACTTAAAGGATGCAGAGGTGTTGATTCTCATCACAAATCTATTTAATTCACCTCTCTGATTCTTACAAACACTAGACACTGGAGGATGAAACTGGACTATTGAAAACTTCATCAAGTAGTAACCCTAATTGCTGCTGCTGTACCAAATGTGAAATCTTGGCTAGACTAGATTAAGGCTCCGTGGTTTGTGGTCACTGTTCTGGCAAGTGTGTTCTTTCCATACCCATCAGAAAGGTAGATCAAAAACTGTTTGTAGCCGGGCTTGGTGGCTCAGCCTGTAATCCCGCACCTTTGGGAGGCTGAGGTGAGTGGATTGCCTGAGTCCGCGGGTTTGAGACCCACCTGGGCAGCGAGACCTCATCTCTACAATAAATCAAAAAATCAGCCGGGCGTGGTAGCGCATGCCTGTAATTCCGGCCACTTGGAAGGCTGAGGCGGAAGGATCGCCGGAGCCCAGCAGGTTGAGGCTGCAGTGGCCGGGAGCGGCCACTGCACTCCAGTCTGGGTGACAGAGTGAGACTCCAACTCAAAAAAAAAAAACAAAAAAAAAAACTGTATACACTCAGGGTAGACAAGAGCATACATTTGTGATGGATATCATAAATATGATGATATAATATATGAACGATAATGATAGAGTTTGTGGGGGTGGAAGAGGTGGTTGTAGCTAAAACAACTCATCATATAAATCTTGCAAATGGAGCAGAGAGTTGCAAGTCCAAAAAGCTAACACTGTGCTCTAACCGCATCCTGTTACTAATTGCTTTACTGCCAATATCTGCTTTCCCCGAGACCCATATCCCAAAGGTATGTGACTGGTAATGTCCTGGTACTGACTGTCAGTGCTCACTTTCGTAAGGCCGCACTTCAGAGACAAGTGATTAATAACATCCCTGATAGTGACTGGTTTAGTGTGGACATCTGCACTTCAAGGCCATGGGACTAGCCTTAATATTTGCATCTCAAGGCCAACTTAAACTCCCCAAACTGCTTCTTGGCACCCAAGCCCATCCTCCCTAAACCACTTCTCAAACCTGATGAGCCTCAATTGGGTTTTGTTTTTTTTTTTGAGTTGGAGTCTCCGTTGCCCAGACTGGAGGGCAGTGGC